GAGTTTAATTCAAATATGATATAATTTTCTATTTTACTCAAACTATAAAAATGTACACTGGGCTGCCTTGATTAGATAATGAATTCCTTATTGCTTCTATAAATGACAAAGCAGAAGCTAGATTATAATCTGTCAGGAATGCCATCTCTAAACTGGAACAAAGCTGAACTATAATATGAACTCTAAAGGTTCCACCTGGATCAATAACTAATATTAGATTATCACATAAGCCAACTACTATGAAAATGAATTGAATTAAGCCTTCATTGTATTCATCTATGATATAAAATACCATAAAGCTAATATATCACAAAGCTTTACTCTTTAGCATTGAACTTTAGAATTAAAAGGAATCTCCTAGTCCAAACCTTTCAATAGACCAAAAATAAATAACTCTATTTTAAATAATGTATTATACAATATAAAGTTTAGCAGTTCAATATTTTTGTACAAGAATGAATATAAATTTTCCCTTTTCATCACACCTTGAACAAGCCAAAAAAATAAATTCAAGAATATTAGCCAGTTTTACCCATCAATCTGGTACCCTCAGGACTATATAAGAAATGACTAAGTATTTCAAGATCTGGATCTAAAAGCATAATAATGAATACAATTATTTAATAATTTTAAGTTTAGTATAAATAAATGTTTTTCCCCAAATCAATCATCTGTGATTTGCCATAATTTACAAATAAAGTGTATCAAATGGTCCAAATGTCTGTACCATCCTTATCTTGAAAGAACAATATTTGAAAATACTCATTTACAGCTCTTTCGTTTATTAATCAATGATGGCATTTTCAAATCCAAGAACTCCCCTCTGCACTTCCCAAGTGTCCACACACAATTAAGCAAAATAAGAGTTGCTCAATTCCTGAGTCAAAATTGCACTAAGCCACCAAATGATGTATCATATACCATCCAGAACTGTATGCTCCTGTTACTACCTCTCAAACACTTTCAAACAGACTGTGGCTAATTTTGAGGTATTTAAAGCACATCAAGACTTAGTTTACTAAGTCTACTACCAAATCAAAATTTTTCTTAGGAAAAATACTGATTAAGAACTTTCAGCAATTGGTTCTCATGATAAAGTTATTTTCATGGCACACAAAAAGTAAAGCATAAACTATTATTTCATATACTTAGTGTAATCATATTTTCATTTCTAAAAATCTATTCAAAAACTGTTTGCTCTAAGCAAAGGTTATTAAAAAATATATCTTTAGACTTATGCAATACTTTCAAAGTACTCTTACTATAACACAATCTGAAAATAAACTGCAATAAATCTTGCTAAGGCTTTATTAAACCAGTGCTTCTTAACTTTTGAACATCAGGATAATATAAACTGTGACCAGAGAAAAGTGCCCAAATTAAATGCCATATCACACACTTATATAACAACTACCTTCTTAGAAGATATTTAGAAATTTTGCTATTGTTCTTAGGTTAAATGTGCATAAAACAAGTAAATTATAAATCCTTGATTTCTTAAACTAAACTAAACTAAAATGGTTGTGTATACGATTCAATGGAAACACAACATTGGCTGCATATTTTTAATACTTCTAAATAATTCTTAAATCTAATTAGCTATAAATAAATTCAAATAACAATGTTTCACTTCTTGCATTGAAACTTTTTTTTTTTTTAAATATGAATCATTTTAAAAGTGATCAAAACAGGTTTTTAAAAGAGACTTGATTCGCTCAGGATCTACCATGTTCCTGGAATTGTGCTTTTCTTTCTTACAATTTGAGGAAATTCTAAATCTTAATATCTATTCAACTATATTCAAATATGTTTATGTTGTGGTCAAGAGATATATTTAAGTATGTATTTTTTTCCATAGGTAATAAAAATGACATTGCTGTAGTTTACTTTGAATGTCAAAATATTTATGACTTCATTTATATACACTAGAGACCCGATACACGAAATTCATGCACAGGTAGGTCGCTAGGCCTGGCCAGCGATCAGGGTATTCCAGCTGCCGGCTAGGACCTTCCTTTGTTCCATTCCACCCCCTCGTGGTCAGCTCATATCATAGCTAGCAATTGAACTCCCACCCTCTGGGTTGAAATCTAGAGGGGACACTTTGCATATTAGCTTTTTATATAGAGAGATTTTAGAAAAACTAGTTTGATATATTTTCAAAGATAATAATCTAGACTAGAAGTTGAAAAAAACAAAATGAAATTTATAACAAAATTATCGATAGGTTATAACTATAGTAGACAAGAAGCAATAATGATAAATTAAATCATCACTTAGGTAAACTTCATGATCTTTTTTATTCTACAACAGTAAAGTAGAAATTTTATAATTTTTCCTAGGCCTTGGAAAAAATAGCATTTGTGGGTAAAAAGTAATGGAAGACATTGGGGGTGAAGGGTAAAATGGTTTCCTGAAAGTCAGTCAGACTTAATTTTTTCTTTGCTCATCTCCAAAGAGTATTAAGCCATTAACTAAACGAATTATGAAGAAATAATAAGTGCAAAACAATTCATCATTCCAGTATTTTTGGAAAATGCTTTAACTTAGTTGATTCTCATTTTATTGAAAAACAATTTTTAAATAACATATATAAAATTTTAGGAATGTATTTAATATGATATACTTACTTTCAATGGTTCCAGACAATAATTAGTCATTTTAACATTAGAGCTATGTAAAAAAATAAGTGGTTTCTCACCTAATTTAATTTTTAAATTAATTAATTTCATCCCAAATTTAGGTTATAACACCCAAGAGGGGCCAATGAGACACCTATCTACACATAATGCCTATTAAAACACTTAAATACCATAGCATTATGGATTTTTTTAGCTAAACATTTTCAAGATCTAAAATTATCTTTGACACTTTTAACTCTCCCAATATTTATAAAGCCTATTTTTAGTGGCAAACTTAAACAAGCCTGATCAAAGATATGAACAAAATGCTAATTTTTGAAACAAGGAATGTTGTATTGTTATGCCAAAATAAACTGGTACTTAATTACAAAAGCCAACTAACTGGCATATGATTACCATTATTGTGGGTGTATATACACTGCTTAGAAGTCTGGACAATCTCTAAGAAATTTTAAATGTATAGCTGACATGGAGATTATGCTAGTGTACACAATGTGAACACACTTCAATGGGAGAAAAATTATAGTAGCATGTTACTTACAAGTAAAACCCATAGGCTATCAGGAATATTCAATTCTGACATTGCTCTCTAAAGAATAAGGGAAAATGTATACAAATTTAACTAAACCTGAGGGTAGAAGAAAAGGTAAAGGGACAAGTTTGGGGAAAGGGACTGAAAAGAAGGGGAGATGAGCAGAGAAAAAGAGTGGAGACAAAGTTAGGGGAAGGAGGCATTGATAAAACCCTTGGCAGCACAAGGTTATTTAGCCTGAGTACATTTGATATTTTATATGCTAAACCAGATGCTCTGTTCCATAAAATTATCATTACCTTCCCTCATTCTTCCCCAAAAGGTCTTTGATTCCTATCAGTATAAAAACTAATGATTTCTCTTAATAGTTTGGTTAAGCCCTGAAGGCAGTACTAGTTCCAGGCTGATCCAGCTAGAGAGTTTGGCTTCATTTAGTGTGCATATATTTCATTTTGTTTCTGTTTTTTTGAAACATTCAAAGCCAAGTGATGATTGTCCATTACAGGTTCTAGAAACATAATCTGTGTGGGGAGCTCAAACATTTTAAAGACACAAGATAATCTGCTCAGCACTTATGATAAATTCAATATAATTTTTAAATATATATTTTATTGATTTTTTACAGAAAGGATGGGAGAGAAATAGAGTTAGAAATATCAATCATCTGCCTCCTACACACCCTTTACTGGGGATGTGCCCACAACTAAGGTACATGCCCTTGACTGGAATCAAACCTGGGACCTTTCAGTCAGCAGGCCAACACTCTGTCCACTGAGCCAAACCGGCTTCGGCTTCAATATAATTTTGCATAGCTTACTTTTCTGATTAAGATACATCACAGTAGAGATGGGTGATGTTAATTATCTATTATGTCATGGACTAGAAGGCAAAATTTGAATGTATTATTAAGATAAAACAGAGAACTTCAACAACAAAAAAAGAGTTCTCAAAGTGTCACTATAAACTGCCTCAGAATGAGCCGTATAAGTACATTTGTCCAAATTATTCTATCATTATAGGTAACCTTGGAAGAAAATGACCGAAAAATATTGTTTTGCCTACCTCAGTGACCCCTAATACATTCTTTCCTACTATTTATTTTCTACTATTGTTTATAATACTTTACCCAATTAAAAATTACTATTATAGCCTTGGCCAAGTGGCTCAGCTGATTGGAACATTGTCCCATATACCAAAAGGTTGCCAGGTTCCATTTCCAGTCAGGGTATATATACCCAGGTGGTGGCACTGGGAAGCAACTGATTGATGTTTCTCTCTCTTTCCCTCAAATCAATATGTTTTTTTTTGTTGTTGTTGTTTTTAAATAACACCATATCTTTGAGTAAGGATTAAAAAGAATTACTGTTACAGACTTATAACCAAACATCTGAAAGGTAAGAAGTACATCTAAACTTATATTCTGAATTATATAGAATAAGCTATTCTTTAGAAATTTAGTACAAAAGGGCTGTGAAGCACACACATACTCATTAATATTTTATTCCTTGTGCTGTTACAGAAGTTTTTGAGTGAAATAGCACTGACTTTTTAAAAAGGGAAATATGAAGGTTCAGATAGATATTTTTCCTAAATAACCATTTTCTTCAAGTTTATTTCTGTGCTATTAAACTTCATTTTTTTTCTTTCATATTTAAATTTCGCTTTTAATTTTTCAAATCTGGTACCAAAATCTAGGACATAAAACTTATAATGTGTTCAAATGTGAATGATTCAAGTATACAATTTCAATTCTGATAAACTAATAAATAGCAAATGGTGCTTACAGATTTAATATCTGGAACTCACTGCAAAGTTACCCAACTTACCTGGTGCTAATCCAGCAGCAGCAGGACTTCCCATGGATGGGTGAGAGAAAACTTGAGAGAAGGCAGACATATTTGACTGGGACACATTACTCAGCCTGGAGGTTGATCCTCCTTTAGGAATAAACTCGCTTGCAGTAGGATTTGGTGTCTATTTAAAAATCAAATATAGTAAGTTAACACACTATAAAGCCCAAAAAAGACATTGAATCTACTAGGCATTATTCCACAGTGTTTTACTTACTGAGTAGAATATTTTACTGAAAAGATTTACAGCGTTTTTTAGTTTTTATATTTCGGGGAGGTATAAATAAATTTTAAGGGATTTTTTTAAATCCAATTTGTGAATTTTAATTTTACTTGCAGAGTTTAACCTCAGAAACATGCAAAATTTACCTTTATTGTCAAATATGCATCATTACCAAAGTATCCTAAGACATTTTAGAGAACTTAGAGGTTTAGACTACCTCAAAACTGAGCAACAAGTTTCAAATTTAATATCTTCAAGACAATTCTACCAGTATAAAGGTCAAAACTGCCTTTATTCCAAAATTAACCACTTCCTTTTCTATAAGCATTTAAGACATTTTCTCAATAATATGGTACCTTATATTTAAGTAACAGAGTAAAGAACAGAAAAAAACACTTATAAACAACACATACATGGGGGGGGAAAAAGATAGAAGAAAAACACAATAGAGGCTCCAATGCCTGCGAAGTGTCACATGTAACTTACGCTATATTAAAAATATTTTGCCATATAATTACATTAAAAATTTCTTCATCATTGTAAGTCACATTTTATATATTCAAGTGGCATGGTACTTTTTGCTTTAAGAACTACTAAATCAGATCTGGCTGGGTGGCTCAGTTGATTAGAGCATCGTCCTGTATACCAAAAAGTTGTGGGTTCAATTCCCGGTCAGGGAACTTACCTAGGCTGCGGTTTCAATCCCTAGTCGGAGCCAGTACCAGAGGTAAGCAATGAATGTTTTTCTTTCTTTTCTTTCTCTTTCTTTCTTTCTCACTCAAAATCAATAAACATATAATATATCCTCGAGTGAGGATATAAAAATAAGGAATTTCTAGAACATGAGACTGTATCCTAAATTCATAAATGGTCTATATTTTTATCCATGTGAAACAAATGAATATCCTAAATATTTTTCTGACTATTTTATTTTATACTAGAGGCCCGATGCACAAAATTCGTGCACGGGGATGGGGGGAGAGGGGAGGTGTCCCTCAGCCCAGCCTGCACCCTCTCCAACCTGGAACCCCTCAAGGGATGTTTGACTGCCTGTTTACGGACAGTCGGACATCCCTCTCACAATCCAGGACTGCTGGCTCCCAAATGCTCGCCTGCCTGCCTTCCTAATTGCCCCTCACCGCTTCTGCCTGCCAGCCTGATCACCCCCTAACGACTCCCATGCCAGCCTAATTGATGTCTAACTGCTCCCCTGCCAGCCTATTTGCCTCTAACTTCCCTCCTCTGCGGGCCTGGTCACCTCTAACTGCCCTCCCCTGCAGGGCTGATTGCTTCTAACTGCCCTCCCTTGCAGGCCTGATCCCTCCCAACTATCGTCCCCTACAGGCATGGTCCCTCTCAACTGCTCTCCCTCACAGGCCTGGTGCTTCCCAATTGCCTCCCCTGCTGGCCACCGTGTGGTGGTCATCTTGTGTCCACATGGAGGCAGGATCTTTGACCACATGGGGACAGTCATCTTGTGTGTTGGAGAGATAATCAATCTGCATATTACTCTTTTATTAGATAGGATAGAGGCCTGGTGCACGGGTGGGGCCCAGTTGGTTTGCCCTGAAGGGTGTCCCGGATCAGGGTGGGGGTTCCCTTGGGGTGTGTGGTAGCCTGAGCAAGGGTCCTGTGGTGGTTTGCAGGCTGGTCATAGCCCCTGGCAACTCAAGTGGAAGCCCTGGTATCTGGAATTTACCTTCTATAACTGAAACTTTGTAGCCTGGAGCAGAGCCAAGCCTCCTGCTTGCTCAGTGGCTGCAGCCATTTCTTCTGGAATTTACCTTCTAAAATTGAAACTTTGTAGCCTTAAGTGGAGGCTTAAGCTGGCAAGGGCAGGCGGAAAGCTTGGGGCTTCATCCTTTGCAGGGAAAGCCAAGCCTCCCTCCTGCTCTCTGTGGCTGTAGCCATCTTGGTTGAATTTATTTGCATACTTGCTCTGATTGGCTGGTGGGTGTGGCTGTGGGCATGGCTTGTGGGTATAGCTCAGTGATGGTTAATTTGCATATTACTCTTTTATTAGGTAGAGTATTTTAATAAATATTTTATTTTATTTATTAAATTGTTTTTTGGTTAATACTCACCCGAGGATATTTTTTCCATTGAATTTTTTTTTTTTTTTAAGAGTGAAAGGGAGGAAGAGAGGGTGTCAGAGAGAGAAAAAGAGAGAAACACATCAATGTGAGAGACACATCAATTGGTTTCCTCCATACACACCAACTAGGGTAGGGATGGAACCTGCAACCCAGGTACTCGCCCTTGACCATGAATCAGAGAACCCTGAAGGAGGGCCAGCGCTCTAACCACTGAAATCAACAGCCAGGACTGAATGGTGACCATTTAAAATTCTACTTGTTTAATTGCAATAAAGATACAGTGACCATTACCATGAGTGATATCATTTGAATTCAACTTCCAATAAGGTCAACCAAAGAAATAATTCAGTATGTTCATACTTTAACCCACATTTTATTTATACATACAAACTAAATTTAAAACACTGAGTCATGACACGAAGAATTTCATCACTCTCAAAAGTATTTTAGAACTAATCATTAGAATAAAGAAGGCAGAAAAATCAGACTATAGACTAATTACTATACAACCCAATAAAATTTCCCTATCTGATATGAATGACATTTTAAACTGCCAAGTTAGAATTCAAAATATTAAATTTGAAAGATAAGTCAACAGGCTACCCTAATTTTAAACTCTAAAACACATGATATTTTACCAGGTGCATGCCAGAGAAAATTAAACACAAGTGATAAAATATAGAGGAAATGTTAATCCGAGATTAAAATGTAAATATATAGCCGAAACCGGTTTGGCTCAATGGATAGAGCGTCGGCTTGGGGACTGAAAGGTCCCAGGTTCGATTCCGGTCAAGGGCATGTACCTTGGTTACGGGCATATCCCCAGTAGGGGGTGTGCAAAAGGCAGCTGATTGATGACTCTCTCTCATCGATGTTTCTAACTCTCTGTCTCTCTCCCTTCCTCTCTGTACAAAATCAATAAAATATATTTAAAAAAAAAAATAAATAAAAAATAGTAAATATATAGAATGAACCTCTTTTATTGCCCACATCTAAGACATGAAATTCAGGGAAGAGGGGGTATCAGATCTGCTACAAAATAAACTTCCTAAAGAGAAATATGTAATCTTCCCCCATCCCTCTCTCTCTTACACAAATTCTAAAGTTTTCCAAAATTATGGCATGTTCTTTTAAAGTATGATCAACTCCTTAATTTCTGGAGTACAAAATAAGCCAACACATGTTAATCCCTATTTGTAAGGACAAATGGCTACTAAAAGGATCACTTTGGAGCTAAATGTGTGTACTACTTAATCTTAAACCTATTTTAGATTATGGAATCAAGATAAAAGCAATCAGGTACCTTAGTAAAAGAGTTCAAAATGTCTATGATATATGAGGACTTCAGGACTACAAGATTGCTAAGAAACAGCAAATTTAGACAAAGAAAATTATATATGCACACAAAACGTTTTAGTAGCATGTTCCTGAGAAATAGGTAGCACCCAATTTCCACTTCACATATATCTTACAATTACTATGAATAACAGTATATCTGATTTCAAAGCTGAGTTTCTCTATATTAAACCTATTTAAATTAATTTGAAAGACTACTTTTAAGGAATCCTATAAATGAGAAATAGGTGATGAAAGTCTATTCTGCCTTTGTCAAACAAATCATTATAAAATGTCATTCTAACAAAATAGAAAGGACCTCAAAATTTATGAAAATAGCCCAGTAGTAGGTAAGTGGATTAGAAAACTGTGGTATATCTACACAATGGCATACTACACTGCTGTAAAAAAGAAGAAATTCTTACCATTTGCAAGGGCATGGATGGAACTAGAGAGCATTATGTTAAGCAAAATAAGCCAGTCAGAGAAAGACAAATATCACCTGATCTCACTCATTTGTGGAATATAATGAACAACATAAACTAATGAACAAAAATTAGATCCAGAGATAGAGAAGCATCGATCAGACCGTAAAACCTCAGAGGAAGGTAGTGGAGGTGGGGGTAAGAGATGAACCAAAGAACTTGTATGCATACATATGAGCATAACCAATGGACACGGACAGGAGGGGAGTGAGGGCATGTGCTGGGGAGTGGGAGCTGCCAGAGAGAGGTCAATGGGAGAAGAAGGAGACTCATGTAATAATTTAAACAATAAATAATTTAAATTAAAAAATTTATTAAACTTATTAAAAATGTAACTGAAAATTTACACACTAAACTTCTAGATATCCAGCAATCACAGATGCAAAAAACCTACCCATAGATAAATTTTAATTAAGAAGTAAAAAAAAAAAAAAGAGCTTAGCCCTGGCTTGTTTAGCTCAGTGGATAGAGTGTTTGCCTGCGAACTGAGGAGTATCGGGTTTGATTCCAGTCAGGGGCACATGCCCAAGTTGTGGGCTTAATACCTGGTGAGGGACTTGCAGGAGGCAGCCAATCCACGATTCTATCTCATCATGGATGTTTCTCTCTCTCCCCCTCTTCTTTCCTCTCTAAAATCAATAAAAATCTTTTTTTTTTTAAAGAGCCTAAAAATCCTCCCTCCTTTGTTTAAGATGGCTAGGCATTTCCCTTGAGTAGTGGTTTGAAAGTTTTGTGTGTTTTTTTATTCAACTCTGAATATTTGACTGAAAGAATTTAAAGAGCAGAAAAATAAATTATACAGGATTTAAATACAGCACACACACACACACACACACACAAATCCAGGAATAAAAGATTAAAGCTACTATTACTAACATATAATACAAATTCCTACAGCCAGATTAGAGAACCAGAAATATTTAATGTAATATAAGTATAATAATGAATACTTTTTCATAATAAAATTAGTTATAATAACTATAAT